TCTTCACCTCTGTCTCCATCCAATATTGTCAACACTCCTAGTACATTTAATGTTTCTGTTGTTTGTGACCCTCTAATTGTGTCTTCTTCACCATTAGATTCTACTCCGCAGTCAACTTCTTCTTCACTACCTCTTCAGGTTTATAGTTGCCGAAACCAATCACAACCACCACCATGTGACTCTACTCAAGTGCCAACTACTCTGTCTCCTCCGAATGTGACACCTGAGTCTGACCTTCCCATTGCCCTCCGAAAAGGTATCCGTTCTACACGTAATCCCTCTCCTCATTATATTGGTTTGAGTTATCATCGACTGTCATTACCTTTTTATACATGTCTTTCCTCTCTTTCTTCTGTGACCATTCCAAAAACTGTCCGTGAAGCTTTAGCCCATCCTGGTTGGCGTCAGGCCATGTTAGATGAACTAAGTGCTCTTCATAATAGTGGAACTTGGGATTTGGTCTCGTTACCGTCTGGGAAATCTGTTGTTGGTTGCAGGTGGGTGTTTGCTATCAAAGTTGGACCTGATGGTACTATTGATCGCCTCAAAGCACGTCTTGTGGCCAAAGGTTATACTCAAATTTTTGGTTTGGATTATGGAGATACCTTTTCCCCTGTGGCAAAGATGACTTCTGTTCGTTTATTTATCGCCATGGCCGCTCTTCAACAATGGCCTCTTTATCAACTAGATGTTAAAAATGCTTTCCTCAATGGTGATTTGCAAGAAGAAATCTATATGGAGCAACCTCCTGGGTTTGTTGCTCGGGGGAGTCTTCTCGGGATGGTATGTCGTCTTCGCAAATCCCTATATGGCCTAAAACAGTCTCCTAGGGCCTGGTTTGGAAAGTTTAGCAAGGTTGTTCAACAATTTGGTATGACTCGGTGTGAAGCAGATCACTCTATCTTTTATCGACACTCAAGTGCTGGATGTGTTTACTTGATAGTATATGTTGATGACATCGTTCTTACAGTGTAGTGACAACCATGGCATCTCTCAGTTGAAACAACATCTCTCGTCACCATTTTCGGACCAAAGATCTTGGCAAACTTAGATATTTCTTGGGTATTGAGGTGGCACAGTCCAATGATGGTATTGTTATATCTCAGAGGAAGTATGCCATGGATATTTTAGAGGAAACTGGGTTGATGAATTCAAAGTCTGTTGATACGCCCATGGATCCCAATACTAAACTTTTACCAAATCAGGGGGAGCTTTTACCTGATCCTGAATAGTATAGAAGATTGGTTGGAAAATTGAATTATCTTACAGTTACTCGTCCTGACATTTCCTTTGCAGTCAGTGTGGTAAGCCAATTTCTTAATTCCCCATGTGAAGATCATTGGAATGCAGTCATTCGTATCTTAAAGTATATTAAAAGATCTCCTGGAAAAGGATTGTTATATGATTCTAATAACCATACAAGAGTTGTTTGCTACTCGGATGCCGATTGGGCGGGATCTCCTTCGATAGAAGATCTACATCCGGATATTGTGTCTCCATTGGCGGTAACTTGGTCTCATGGAAAAGTAAGAAACAAAGTGTTGTGGCAAGATCTAGTGCGAAGCAGAATATAGAGCTATGGCCTCAGCTGCTTGTGAACTTGTTTGGCTCAAGCAATTGCTTAGAGAGTTACAATTTGGAGATGTCACTCAAATGTCACTTGTGTGTGACAATCAGTCGCTTCTTCATATTAGTTCTAATCCTGTCTTTCATGAGAGGACCAAACACATTGAGATTGACTCGTCATTTCATTCGAGAAAAGATTATGTCTGGAGACATCAAGACCGAGTTTGTTAACTCAAGTGATCAGTTAGCGAGATATTTTTACTAAATCTTTACTGGGTCCTAGAATTGATTATATTTGTAACAAGCTTGGCACATACGATTTGTATGCTCCAGCTTGAGGGGGAGTGTTAGATATTGTTTAGATATTATTTAATATTGTTAAGATATTGTTAGATATTAACCATAATATCAAACAATATCTTCTCGTTTATTCTGTTACTTTCAGCTACTCTTTTAGTTGTATCTCTCTACTATAAATAGACTACCCTATGTGTGATTTATACACAAGGGAGATTAATCCCAAACTCTATTTCTTCTATATTCAACAAATACATTTGATAATTACCTTATATTAATCAAAGTACACAAACAATAACAAAATCTATGAAGAAAACACTTAAATTTCAGAGATTTTTTTTTTAATTTATAGTTTTTACATGAAGAAAACAGATTTATTTATGAAGGAAGCTAATATAAGCTAGGCAAGAGTTAATGACCAAATCTTCTATGCTTGCTACCTTGAGGAAGTTGCAATTCTCATGGTTAAGGCAATATCTTAGGCTTCTTAATTTGCTGTAACTTTCAATCCAGAGTTAATGATATTGAACTACCTTGTTCTACAATATGCTAAAATCTTTTACAACTTTTAGTCTAAATATTCTCTTTCAAAGAATATTTCTTAAATATTTAAAAAGTATTTTTAGAATATTTTATGGAATATTCTTAAAATGTTGTAGAAAATTTCTTTAGACAAAAAATATTTAATTTTAATATATCTTAAAAAAAATTATATTTTTACAAAGAATATTTATATCATATAAATTATTTCCATTTATCTCTTTTTTTAACTCTTTTATTTTTCCTTTGTCATTAATTTTTTATTTATTTTTTCTCTAATTTTTTAAGTCAGGTAATTGTAGTGACTTCTTCCTTATGTTAAATCCTAGTCATGTCCCATCATAAATTATGATGTGTTTTTTAAGTATAAATTTTTTACTTCAAGACGATTTTAGAAGAAAATTGAATAGAAGTAAAAATGAAAAGGATGAGAAGGAATTCTTCAAGAAAATAGAAAATAATTTTTCATGTAATAGATCTTTATTTTGATATAATAGATGATAAATCTTTTATAATTCAGTCTTCGTATCTGTTCCGAAGTAAAGGTGAGAAGTAGAGTTTTTAGTCCCTTATTTTTACATTTAAGTCTTTGTACACTTTGTTATAATTTTGGCATGGTGAAGTTTATAGACATTTTGTTTAGATAATAAAATGGGTCAATTCGTCCTTTTTATCTTTTATATTTATAATGGGTTGTAGATCTTGACTTATTCTATTATTATTAAAAAATTTATTTTTTATGGGAATATTTTTGTAAAGTTTTTATAAAAATTACAAGAAATAAGTTTTTCTATAAATTAAAACAAATTTTTTTTAAGAAAATTGGCAAAAAAATTAGGTTTCTAGTAGTGTATTATAATTTTTTTTAAATTAATTTATTTGTCTCTTTTAAATCAAATTTTTTAATAAGTAAAATAATTAGATTATGATTTGTTTGGGAACAATTTAATATATATATATATATATATATATATATATATATTTCAAATTAATAATATAAATTATCACATTGTATTAAAAATTTATAATTTAGAACAATCAAATTAAAATAAAATTTATATAATAATAAATAATAACAAATACATATAGGTGACATAAAAATTTGTAAAATCAATATTTTTTATATTGAAAAATTCAAACACCTCTAACAAAAATTATATTATACTTTTTTATTTAATAAAACTTCAAGTTGTTATCCCCTTGAATAATTCTTACACCTTCAATTAAATTTATGAGCAAGGAGAGAGGAGTTTGTTCATGAGAAAGAAGAATGTTTCATATAATGAGTGAGAGTCCTAATAATGAGTGAGAATATGACATTTTGAATTATTTTTTAACAAATTTTCACCTTATATGTTATCTTCGTGATTGGTTATGGGCTCCCACCCTATCTTGCAGATTAACCCAGTGAGTTGACAGTCTTGACAGGTTAGGCCAGAGAGGGTTAAAAATATCAACCCTAGTGGATTGATGGATCGATTCGTCAGATTTGACCTGTTTTGTTATCACTAATTTTTTATAGAATATGATTTTTTTAGAGTTCTTATCTTCGTGATATCCCAAGTAGCAATATCTTTTTATTATCTATTTAATATAGTGTCACCTATTTTGTGTCTAAAAGTTCAATCTCTTATTCCTTCTTGGAGCTAATTTTCTTGATCATATAAAGTATTCTTCTATCTTACTTCTTTCTTTATTTTTATATTTGGTTTCTATCCCTCCTTTTGGGGAACTTTGATTAATACTATACTTTTTTTTATCTATCTTTATCAAGAACTAATGGTACTGACCGATCTTGATTAATGATTTTCGGTTGAGTTGTTAAATAAGGTGATTCAGTCCAGCCTGATTTGACCTATGAGTCAAGTAAAAATTTATTAGTCTATCTTGACTTATTTTTTAAATGACCTATAATTTTCTATGTAATCTAATCCTATATTAGGCCGACGAGCTAATTGATCAATATTGACATGATTGAAAATAAAAAAATTATTAATATGTCTATATAAAAAAATAATTAAATAAAATTACAAAATATATTTTAAAAATTTAAATTAGATTGATGAAATTAATTTGTATTTCAAATATAATTATTTAATAAATAAATTGTAAGAGAAGAGATCCATTTAATACCAAAATAAGAATTAAAAAATTATTCTTTGTTATGATCATTCGTTTTTTTATTATTTATTGATTTAAAATAATAATTCATCTTAATCATTAGATTATGGAATAAGTAGATGTCGATACTTTTTATTATATTTACTTTTAGAATAAGTAAATCCTTTATTAAATTAATTTATAATATATATATATATATAAAATAATAATTTTATTATTTTTATTTAAAAATTATTATTATTTTATAAAATGGATCAACCTATAAATTTACATATTAATTTGACCAAAACTCATGTAAGTGATGACCTAAGTAAGTTCGACCAAAATAGCTTATCCAGAAATAAGCTTTTAAATTCTCAAAATGTACTCTTGATCTTGTAGTAGAGATATCACCCATTCTTGCAAGCAAATTTTTTTAGATAAAATTGCTTAAAAACAATATAGACTTCTTCCACAAATTGTTCATATGTATCTTCTTAATCTCTACTGTCTTTTTCTTTGCCAAAAGTGTAATTAGTATCTTGATGATCATGGGCAATTTTATGACGCTCTATATATTGTAATCTTTGATCTGTTTGTACGTCTCCTTTTATATTCTACATATTTTGACTAATGCTATATATAATTCGGACTACCTTCGGTAGTATTCTTATCTTTATTGAAGGGTATGCGCATTATTTTCTTTTATTTATTTTATATTAGGAACATACCTTTTGTTTTATAAAAAAATTCGTTTCAAAGTTTTATTTCATTGAAAATAATAGGTATGAATAAAAATATTTTCTCTTTAGTTTATTTAGGATATTACCTTTTTATATAAATTTCATTTTAAATTTTTTTCATTGATAATAATCATTTTTTTATGTGCTTATAGTTTTAGTTTAAATTAATTTTAAACTTTCATATTTTTATTTGCATAGAAAACATTATTTTTACTTTTACTTATGGTATTGTTTTTATATAATTTTGTATTATACCATTCATCTCATGCTATATATCTTTTAAATATTATAAATCTATCATTTATCACTATCGATATATGTTGAAGTTTATCATCAAAACAATAAAATAAATAAATAAATAGCGTAAATAGTATATATCATTGTTTTATGTAAGAAAGGGGTAAAATAAAAAAGAAATCTTATGTAAAAATTAATAAAATTCTAGTTCATGAGTAAGTGAAGAGAAATAAATATTAATAGAATTTTATTTATATAATTTTAAAAAGAAAAATAATTTGAAAATAAAGATAAAAAATATATAAATCTAGAAATTAAAATTTTAAAAAACACAAGTTGGACTATCGTTTAAAATAATGGTATAAGATAAACAAATATAAAAATCTAGAAATTAGCATATTTTTTTTTTTTATCAAATACCAATAGTAGGTTATGTGAACAAGTAGTTTGTGTGTGTAAATGTGCTCTAATATATTCCCCTATAAAATATTTATGAAGTTTTAGGTACTATTATTATTTTATTTGAAATATTACACTAGTCTTATGAGTCCTTTACACACAATAATTCTAATCTCTTAGGCTTAAAAATGATTAATTTAAATAACATTAGAGCCCGAGAATCGCGGTTTACATATATTATATAATGATTTCACTTAGAATTCGTAATCAAAGCAAATCGTTTTCCATGCAGATCTTATCTATGAAGATTCATGATATGCTTCAAAGATAATCAATTCCAGCTGCCCAAAGATACATCAAGATATAAAAACACACCCCATGAACAAAGACATACTTGGACATATAAATAAATGTAGACGAATATCTCATTATTCTACTCATTTTACTTACCTTATTTAAATTTTCAACGCTGAGAATTAGAAATTAATGGAAGAATACTACTTAATAATAATAATAATAATAATAACAATAAATAAAAGCAGGAAATTTCAACCAAGTGACGAGCTTTCTCCAACTGACCCAATTTGTCATAAACCATGTGCTGCTGGGTAGCTTCCTCGCATTAATTTATCTGATTTGTGATGTACTTTGGTGTAAGAGTGTCAACAGTAACAAAACATGTTCAGATTCATATTGAATTAACACGTTGTACGGGTTTTGTTTGGTAGCCACAAACCTATGACAACTATTTATTATGTGTGGTTATATTTAGTAGTACTGTTAGACTATTATTACTTTCTACAGTAGTAATAACAAATTTTGGACACATTATTCAAACTAGAACTACTTGAATTTTTTTATTCTTTATAGCTTAAAATGAACATTTTCCACACAGGGTTAAGGTGATTTTGTTTTGAGAATGGACAAGAGTTTGGTATCGGTGACAGTTGAAAGATAAAAGTGAATAAAAAAAGTACTATTGGCTTCTCAAACAAATAATTCTTACATTAAATTGACCAACCTTCACAGTTCTGACTAATTAATTTACTTACAATATGAATTGTGCTTCTGTCTGTGTCTGTTGTAAAAAGCCAGAGAGAGAAAGCAGTGAATAGGGAAATGATATGCTTTTGTTTCGAATGTCAAGCCCCGATATTTTGCAGAGGGTATAGATATAACACTACACACACTCACAGTTTAAAATAAGTGTTATTTGAAACTTCCACAAAGCTAGAATAAGATTTTATATGATTTTACAATTAACTAGTTTTAAAGTGAATACACTTATTCTTCATGATGTATGTGTATAGCTTATTTTCCATTTTTATATTATTATTATTTTTATGCAATGATAAATCAGAAATCAAAATTAAAATTTTAAAACCCTGTCAGTAATTGGAGCATAGAGAAGTGAAGCAGGAAAAAGAGAAAGGGTATTTGGGGGAAATGGTTGATGCTTGCATTGTATGGCATGTGACCGTGGGAGCTTGTTAACCATCAGAGCCAACACCGCTATGCCCCACATGGATTTTGGAGATTTTCCCGCTCCGAACTACACGGTTTCCAGCCACAAAAACATCAGAAGTGGACCTCTTGCCCGCTTGTACAGTTACTTTTTGTTTTTGCAAATTTATTTCAAAACCACTTCTACCCTTTAAGCAATTGTAAAACCACTTCTACCCTTTGCGGTTTTTTTGGTCTAAACAATTCAAAAACAGTTAGTTGAACTTGTGAATGTGGCATTATGCCTACGCTGTTTTCCCCAACTACCCTCTGCCACGGTCTATAAATTAGGTCGCAGCCCCACTCTTTTTCTTCACAACACTGCTTCTCTTCTCACTACCCCCTGCCCCTTCCTTTGTCTCCTTACTATTGAAGTAATTGCCCTTCTCATAGGTAATTACCTTAATTTGTTCATCAGTTGGAGACAGAAGAGGCACTACTTTAGCCAGAAGGAAATGTCTGATTGTTTGTTCTGTTGTGTGTTCAGGATAATGGCTCTTGTTGGGTTGCTCTTGATGGGTTTTCTCACAATGTTCACCTCTGCTCATGCTTATGATGGAGGGTGGACTAGTGCTCATGCCACCTTCTACGGAGGGAGTGATGCGTCAGGGACAATGGGTATGGTTTTGGCATCAAAATAGGGCATTCAATTTTTTTTTCTTATAAAGATTTCATTTTTATTTCGAAGATGCTTGTCTTGGAGCAACCCATTGGACTAATTCGTGGGTTTGTGCAGGTGGGGCATGTGGGTATGGGAACCTCTACAGTCAAGGATATGGAACAAACACTGCTGCTTTGAGCACTGCACTGTTCAACAATGGGTTGAGCTGTGGCTCTTGCTTTGAGATTAGGTGTGCCAATGACCACAACTGGTGTCTTCCAGGCTCCATTATGGTCACTGCCACCAATTTCTGTCCACCCAACAATGCCTTACCGAACAATGCTGGTGGCTGGTGTAACCCTCCCCTTCAACACTTTGATCTCGCTCAACCTGTCTTCTTACGCATTGCTCAATACCGTGCTGGAATTGTGCCTGTATCCTTCAGGAGGTAGGCTTACCTAGTTTCACTCATTCGAATTAAATATGTTTTATTAACAGTAGATAGTGTTCTTTCTATTACAAGATGTATCGAAATTTGATTTGAGTGCTTGTAATGGTTTAGGTTATCATAGATTTGAAACTAAGCTTTGTGCTTTTTGCAGGGTGCCCTGCATGAGAAAGGGAGGGATAAGGTTCACCATCAATGGACATTCCTACTTCAACCTAGTCCTCATCACTAACGTTGGTGGTGCTGGGGATGTGCATGGTGTGGCAATAAAAGGATCAAAAACTGGTTGGATGCAAATGTCAAGGAACTGGGGTCAGAATTGGCAGAGCAACAACTATTTGAATGGTCAAAGCCTCTCTTTCAAGGTTACCACCAGTGACGGCCGAACTGTGGTGTCCTACAATGTTGCCCCAGCAGGTTGGTCCTTTGGCCAAACCTACACTGGTGCTCAATTCCGTTAGATCTACATCATCCAAGTTCAAGTCTCACGAACACAAATACTATGTAGTATAGATATATAGTATGGTCTAAGAAGATGACTCGTTAGTATACTAGGGTATTAGATAGTATGCTACTAGGAAAGGGGTCAGTTTTTGGAATATTTGAGTCCATTGAAGAAGGGCATGTTTTAAATTGCTCCCTTCATTTTAATTTCTGTCTGCAGGTGGGGACCTCTTTTTTGGCCCCTCTGGGGTGGCTTTTTTTTTTTAACATTTTCTAAAGGTTTTTGAGCCTTCCGTGGCTCATTGGAAGCTAGTCAAGGTGAACTTTTTTTTTATCATTGTATGGGTGAACTACTTAATTGGAAGAGGTGGACTCTGACCACCCGCCAATTAGTATTGGGATGGTGTCTTTTTCATCTTGTTTGGAGTGTTTTATTAATGATCTTTTGTAAGCAGCCTTGGTTGTGTTCCAGACTCAAAAGTGCAAAATTTCTTTATGGAAAGTTTCAGCAATTACTAGTGATATTTGTATTTGTTTTTTTTTATAATTGCTAATTGTTAATGGAAAGTTGAAAGCAAAGTACGTTGTTTTACTTGCTGGATAAGATCAAATCAAAACTCTCCAAGATGTTTAAACAGAAAATAGTATTAAACTCTTTTAGGTTCCACTTGGTCGAGGCGAAGTTGAAAAAACAATTTTGGGCTTATATTTTGGATCTGTTGGAACGATCGAGACAGTATCTTGAAATTGGAAAACAATTGAAACCTCCATAATTAACGCTCAACACCATCTAAAAGTTAAATCTTTGTTTTAAAAACGTTTTTGATATTTTAACCGATTATATTATTATGTAACTTTAAAAATGAAAAAAATAGCTAATATCAGTGTCAGTGAAATAGAAGAGGCTAGATTCTCTGAATGAATTTTTTGTTTTTCAGTTTAAAGTGTTTTACATTGCTTACATTTTGTGTGCCCCGATAAAATCTCTCCAAAAAGACTCTTTCGAAGAAAGAAGCTAATTGAATTGCCAATAAACAAATCATGTGGCCATTAATGAGCTTATATTGTTGGTAATAGAAAAGCAATAAAACTAATACATGTTTATGGACGAGTCAATACATAAGCTTAAATCATTTATGTATAAAAGAATATTTTTATAATATTACATATAATTTTAATTTATAGAAAGTTGCATTATATTTTTTTAATTCAATTTCTTGAAAATATTAATGGAAAAGTTTGTCATTATAATGATATACAGCCTTGGTGGGCTCAACTGTCAAACCCAAATAAATTTTAGTGAAGCAAGTTCCAAAATTTTGTTTTGCATTGAAACAAAAGAGCAAGCATATTTTCATACTTTCTTATTGCAACCTTATCTAAAAATAATAATATCCACATTAGTTATAGAAAACAAAAAAATTGGAAACATATTCTATAGTAATCGAGATTGAAAACTTTCGAATGAATTTGAAAATATATAATATTTTTAAGTTCCCTTGAAATATAATTTTATCATCTTGAAAAGATTATTAATCCATAAGTTTTTCGGAAAACTAAATTTATAAATGATTTTTCACAATTTAAGTTATGGATTTTCTAGAATGAATTTTTTACACATTTTAAATTATTTTTTCAAAAAGTTCTTTTCATATGATGGTTTTTCAAATTTTTTTAGAAAAATCAATTCAAAATATTTTTCAAAAACTTTGAATAACTGCTTAAAAATTATATTTAAAATCTATTTATATTAAGAACAATATTAATTTTTAAAGATATAAAAAAAAGTATTAAATGCAAAACGAACGCGGCATGAGTAATCGGTTAGTAACTCAAAATAATAAACTTTTAAATTTAATGATATGTTATTATTATTATTTTATTACTCAGATATATGTTAATATTATTATTTTAAGCCTACATTTATTTAGTTATTTGTACTAATTTGATTATAATATATTTTACTTATTTTTAATTCAAAATAATTTTACTTTAATAATATCTTGAATTAATTTCTAACATTTATTATACAAATTATAAAGTAAACAAATGTTTTTAATTTAAGGTATTTAAAACACTTAAAACTTGGTTAATGGGTAAGATATGATAAGACTAAGATAAGAATATGGAATGATGAAGATGTTAAGTATTTATCATATTCAATATCAATCAGGATAAATAATATATATTGTAATGACAATGATATAAGAATGACAAAAATATCAATATATTCTACTTTGAAGAGTCTTAGGTCTTATCTCTCAAAATAAAATCATTCAGTGTACGAATTACAATAATTTAGTAGACTAATCACCATAATTAAGATCATGTCACCTCCTATTATATCAAAGAGTGAATTAATGAAATGATTGTAAGTATTTTTTTAAAATTATATAATTTTATATTATTTGACATTAGTAATTTGATGTGTGAATATTGTTTAAATTTTTATTTATTAATTAATATTTCTGAGGTTCTTTTTGATATTAATAAACCAAGTTTAGGAAATAGATTAAGAGGATGATTATATTTATATGTTAACTTGATTAATTATAATGAAAAATTAATTTATAACTATTCTTAATTTAAACTATAATTTAAAAAAAAATTTATAATATTTTAAATATAAAGAGTGATACATGTTGGAATTAGTTTAGGACTGAAATTATCATTATAATATATTTGGTCATTGTTATATATATATATATATATATATATATATATATATATATATATATATATATATATATATATATATATATATATATATATATATATATATAACTTTAAAAATAGATTTAAGTTATCCGTCTATTTAATTATAATTTTTTGTTTTATGTTATTTAAATATCATAATATTATAATTTAAATTATTAATATTTATAAATTAAATTTATATTATTGATTATAGTTAAATAATTTAATATATAAATATAATATTTTCAATTTAATAAATATAAATATTAATTAATTAGTAAAAAAATTTAAAAATTAAATAGTCAAGTGTATTTTTTTTAAATAAATTAATATTTTGAAAATTTATTTTTGAAAAAATATTAACATTTAAACTAAAACCTATAATTCGCCTGACTGAGTATTACTGGTGAGCCTGTCTTTCTCATTTTCAATGATTGGTAAAATTAAGTGATAAATGATTGGTAAAATTAACTTATAAATATAAAAAAAAAATTGACACATCTATTTCAATTTCTTGATAAAAATATATTTTGATAATTTTTAATTTAATTTGTTAGTTAATTAAATTCAAGCTCTTATATGTTTTTAGATCAATTATTTTATTTTTTTGTTTTAATTATTATATTTTTTATATGATATATTTTACTGTTAATCTTATATGATATCTTAATAGTTTCATTCAAGTATGAAATAAAAATAACCATTTAAGTAAATGTTATATTTATATTATGTTGAATGGTTATACGATATTAAAGTATAAAAAAATATACCTATTCATAAATAATAAAACAAAAATTTAATAAATATTATTGTAAGGGTAAAAATTTAAATATAAAAAAAATAAAAACAAATGTATATAAAAACACTATAAACTACTAAAAAACACTTGTTTATTAAAAATTATCTATAAAAACTAAATAACTAATATTAGATAATATTAATGGTATCTCTTAACCAAAGGCGTAATATGAAAAACTAGTTAAAATATGATTATAATATTGATGTAATGATAGATTATTTTTAATATTTCTACAGTTTATTTTACAAATTTAATATTTTAGACAAGTAAAAAGAGGGAATGTACATGTGCTACTACTCAATCTCTCACCATATGCAATAAATTTTAGAATATGCAACTAAGTTGCCAACAGGGAAGGTGGGTTTCGTAAGAAATGAGAAGCGAAACCAAAGCCCACCCTACAAACCTTGTAGTCAATTTCAAACTCCTACATTAGAGTGATATGATGAAGACAAAATGAAAATCACAGAAAAATTATTTGTTTCATGATTTCAAAAAAACTCAAAAAGGTCCATTGCTGGGAACATTATGGGTAAGTAAGCAAACTAAACAAAGACTTATTTACAAGAAGCAGATACAAAATTGAGTTTTGGACAGAAAATGCAATAACTGTGAAGTGACTCACTCTCAAATACTGTTTTGCTTTGTGATCTTATATACATCTATTATAAGGTGGCATGCTTTATATTGCATTGGCAACCTTCACACCTGTGATAAGGTGGAAGCAGAAACAACCAAACAGAACCTATTATTGGTAATTATTTGTATCTAACATAGCATTCCTGTGCCATCTCCTTGATTCATCTCATCAAGGCAGGCTTAGCTGCTGACTGAGGCCACATAAAAAATTGGCTGGTTACTTCCTATATTTGCATAAAACTCATCATCTGAGGTCAAATTCTCTGAAGATGTCAAGTTTCTCAAATGTGTCTGAAGTTCTCTAGCAACTTCAACAACAGTAGATGGAGGGCCAAAACCATAGTGATTCAGTTTGGTTGCTGCACTCAGAAAATTGAAGTTTACAATGAGTAAAGTTTGAACTCCAAGTTAGTGTGATCAGATTCAGACATGAGAATATGGGGTAGATAAGTTATTTGAATGGTCTAGAAGAAACTTTCTGCATATTATATTTAAGTCCAATGGAAATCTTCCATATCTCTCTACATTGTAAGTTGCTAATATTTCTAGTTGGCTATCAAAGGGTGCATTACCCTCTTTCTCTCATGAAAGTTGCTACTGTGTTTCTAGTCGGCTATCATAGGGTGAAACTATCACAAGAAATTTATGCAACAAGAATGCCAGGAAAATATTTAAGGACATGTGTACAACCTTCTCCATCCATACGCACTTTTACCAAAGAAAATAAAAAGAAAGAATGAAATAAACTTCTTTATATGTTAAAATTAACTTATGTATAAACTAGAAAAAAAGGTAAAAAAATATATAAAAAAACTGAATAAATTAATTTATACATAAGTTAATTTTAACTTATAAAGAATTTTTCTTTTATAAATATTTATGAACTTATCAATACATATTCTATGTGAAGCTAAAGTGCACTTTAGTGGAGCTTGCCTGGGCATATAACTGCTCATCGAACATAGTAACACCACAAGGCCCTGATGTGGAAGCCCAACCATGGTGATTAGAATCAAAACCAGATCTAGGTGCTTCTAAACTTCCATTCACGTTAAAATCTACAGGATTTTCATGTGGATTGATCTCTGCAGTTGGTTGATACTTCAAATTATTCATTACATTAAAATTGTATGGCAGGTACGGAAACTGCCCATTCAATTGTAGTCTCATAGGGGCAGTACTTGTCATGTCACTAAGAACCCCATTTTCTTGTGCCGAGTTAGAGATCTCATTCTTCATACTTGAGCCAAGATAACTGGCATAACTTCCAAAAGATGAACTTGCAGATCCCTCTACATCTCTGAGGATTAGCCAAATAAATGCTGTTACAAACTTAACCCAAAAGATCAATTCAATATCCGTAAATCATCATAACCATCACCTATTTCTGTCCTTGCTTCAAATTCATATGCACAACAGAACATGTTATCTATCGTTTTGATTAAAACTTTGTTCTAATTTAAGAAAAATAGGAGTTTTATACCATAAGATAATCACTTTACACTCTTGCAATAAAATATTCTCCAGTAAAACTTATTATGATCGCTACATGAATAGGTTAGGCAAACACTGAATATATTTCTACCTTAGAAAAATAACTCACTTGTGGAGAAACATGCTTGAGTCCTCAGGTAAAACAATATTTGGGCTGTCACCATTTGTAATCCATGAAAGAGGTTGGAGATGCTGTTCTGCACTCATTCTGAAGGGAATATTCATTTCATTGAACTGGAACGTAAAAATAGTTTAGTCTTATCTACTTGATCCATAACATTGAAACCAATTTTGAAAGAGAAAATGTATTATCACCTAACAAGCTTTTACCTGATTATTGCATTGCAGAGACACAAGTTGCTGCTTTTTTATATTTTCCTGCAATATCAAGCTGAGATTTTAGACATGAAATAGCTTAAATAATGCAATGTTGAGTATAGAATATCTTTCTACAATGCTTTGTCCATTGTGTTGTCAGGTTTTATAAACTTTGGGGGGGGGGGGGGGGGTCTGTGAGTTGAAAAACATGTATGTGGCTTTTTTTTTTTCTACACTCCTATTTGATTTACAATTTTCTCTTGGTTTAATAAAACTGACGAGAATTCCACTACGCACGTCTCATGTTAGTCTATTAGATGTATTAATACCCTTAGAGTATTTATATATTTTCAAAGATTTTAGGTTGAAATCTTAACATCATATTAGGGGCAAAGTGTAGTTTTTTTTTGGGTTATTATTTTGGGGCAAGAGTTATTATTTTCTTAGGTAAAAAATATCTTTGTCTAGTCTCACTCTTTATTAGAGGAAATATGTTGAAAGTTGTATATTGTTTATGTCATATAGCATGGTTTAAGTATTTCTTAAATTAGTACTCTCCATATTTAATTATTGGTTTTATCAATGCTTCATTCACTGATAGCTTGTTTGGGGAGGAAAGCTAGAGAACAATTATTTGCAATGAAATTGAAAAAAATAAAGGAGAAAAAAAAACTTTTGGCATTCCCACCTCTTCTGACAAAAAATAAATAAAAAATACAGAGACATAATTGATTATGTTTCAATTTTTTATAAAATATTATTTATTATGTTATAATAACTAAATAAAAGATATTAAAATAATAAATAAATTTATTTAAAATTAATAAATATAATATTTTAATTAATTATATCAATTTTTTTATAATCCTTTCATTAATTTATTTTTTATTTTTTATTCTCTTTCTTTCAATTTAAATAATTTTATGTTCTATTATATTTCTCTTTTTTTGACGTACTTAAATCCACTCTTCAATCCAGGGGTGGCTTTCAATGTTTTCCTTCCTCACACTTTCAGTTAAATTTTTCCTTCCTAGACAAGAATAAAACAGACAAGTTTCTTGGTATTCATCAGATCCTTAGAACCATTATGATAAACTGAACTTGTAAGATTATCGATTGAAAAGAAGCACAAGTATAGCATAAAAGTAACGCATACCTTTCGGTTTCGAATTTGATTAAGGGACTCCCTGATTGAATTTTCCATCTGTCCTAGTTGTTCCACATTGGTTATTTTATCAAATTCAGTCCACTGACTACATAATCCAACAATAAATAAAGAGTTTAATATTAATATAATCTTTTTACATTATTAACTAAGCAAAAATAATTTTAAGTATGACTTTTAAAGGTAGTTACTACTAAAATTAACTAACCATATATATGTAATTCAATAAGAGTGAAAAAAAAAACACTTTACACTAATAGAACATACATTATTTATTTATAAAGAATATAATAGACATCCATTTTCATGCAAAAAATTTTACACTATTACTGATAAAAAAATATTCTTAGTATATGACTTTAGAAATAGTTAAAGTCAATAGAAGTTTTACAGATATATGCTATTTATTTATGTAAAATTAATAAACATGCAATATTATTGTAAAATTTTTTATATTAACAAAAAATAAGAAAAAACCCATCATATATAACTTAAAAGGTAGTCACATGTGATTTATAATTGAATAATAATGTAAAAAAAGGTTTTACACTATTAATGCACATATTATTTATAGATAAAGAATTTAATAATAGGCATTCATTATTAATATTATATTCAGCTTTAATCAACTTGCATCATTAATCTAGATGTTTTCATCTTATTTAACCAATTAGAAATCATCTTCTGAGGACTTGTAATATAATATCAAATTTACATGAATAACTTGAAGCCAAATCAGGGGCAACAGTTTATGAAAGTAAAGCTAAAGAAGAAAAGACCCACCTTAATCTCTTGTGAGTTTCAGAAATTTGAGTCTGTAATAGCCTGGCTTGATTACTTAAATCCTGTCCAATGTCAGTTAGTGATTCAGAAAAACAAACCTAAAAATGAAAAGATAACAGATAATTTAATTGTGGGTACCTCAATAGTTTGACTACTGTGACAAGAAAAAAGTAACAAAAAAAAAAAAAAAAATCAGTGTCAGAACATATATAAATGATCAAATGTTTTAAAAGAATAATTATTTGATGTCAGAATGACATACCTTGTACCCAGAAATTCTTGTATATTTACATCATGATCTAACTTCTTAAACGTTTTCTTCAGTACCTAAATTCTCGAATGGAGACATCTCATTGATAAGAATCATTGTAGATATTATGACTATAATTCCTTTAAAAAACAGAAAAAAGAACCATGTGTATATCTGAGTATGGATTTTGAGCTGAGTTGTAAGAAAAGACTTACTTCAAGAGTCTCCAACTTCCTGTTTCAATTAATTGAAAAAAAACACTTTGTTAAATTATTGTATTCCTTTGTATTACTTGGAACGAATACATTATATATCATGTGTGTGAGCTATACCTTTTTGCCCTTTCCTGAGGAGTAAGTTGAGCAAACTTCGTAATAACTTCCTCTAAATTACTAAAACCACCAAAGGAGGGAATATAAAATCAGGAGGATCAACATATAATTTTTCCGATAATTACTCGTAAAATAAGAAGGACAACAGAAAGAAAAAGTTTAAACAAATTCATAAGAGACGTGAAATTGGGAGGTAATTAATCACTCTAGAAACATAAGTAGGGTTCAAATACTAAAAATAAATAAATAATATATTGAATATTCTAACTTAAAATACCAAATTACCTGATCAAAGCATGATAACTTTAATTTCTGGTCTGAGTTAAAAATCAATTATGGTCCAATGGATCACAGATTTCCATAAAGCCACACCCAGTTCTCTGGCTTCTAACTTAGGGTTCAAAGTTTCAAACTCGCAATCTTTTCAAATCACATAGTTTCACTACTTAAAGAAACTATTTCTTATTGACTGACTATAAACCTTCCTAAAATTCCTCCCAATTCTACTACATATAAAGCAGTAAAAAAGGATTAAAAAACACCCCTTCCTAAATATCTACACAAAGATGTAGTTGTTGTTTTACGTATTAATTGATAGTAAAATATAATAATTGTGCAAAATATTTTATAATTATGCATCATATTACTCTTCACCAGGCCAGTATCATATCTCCGCGTAACAATACTTAAACTTAGAAATTAGAATGGAAGATTGGAATTAAACTCTTTGTTGTTTCTTGCGATAAAAATGAAATAGAATTTACTAACATGTCAATATGCCTTCATCCATCTAACTTATCTTATTCAGGTAACTATGAATGTAACATTATATAATGACACAATTTGAATGAATGTTATTAGGGTTTACCTGCGTCGTCCTCTACATACGGAAGGTTTTCCATTTGGTGCAAACATTAGAAGTATAATATCTATATCACACAATATAGATAACTCAGCAGCTTTTTTCATAATTCCATTTTTTCTTTTAGCATACGTTGCTTGGCGGCCATTCATGTTCTCCAACCTCTTTATCTTTAGTTTTACCCTGCCCATCCTGCACATGATTGTGTACGTACATAATACGAAGTTAACAACCATAATAACCTAATTATACACGTTATTATGCATATATGTATATGTACCTACTATTCACAAAAAGATTCCAAAAATATATAGACTCCCAAAAGCACATATTTTCTAGATACCAAAAACTTCAGCACACCCATGCTGCAAACTTATATTCATTTTGACACGTACACACATGCACTTGCCCACACAGATTCACATATTAAAACCAATGAAGAACTTGAATTAAAAAGGAAGAATATGGCCAACAATAACAACATGTAGTTGCATCATTCTTATATATACCCTTTATCAACGTTTTCGAGAGTTGACAAGGAGAAAGACAGAATGTGAGTAATATAGAAAGAGCTTAGCACAAAAAAAAAAAAAAATAGAGGAAAAGAAGAATTTAGAAACTCACGCAGATAATGAAGCTGAATATAATAATAATATTAATATTAATAATAATAATAATAATGTAAGTAAAAATTAAAGTTCAGAAGCGAAGGGTGTAGGTATGCAAGAGGGAGAGGTTGGTTGTGAATGGCAATGGCAATGGAAGATTCAAAGAGAGAGAAAGAGGGAGAAGAGAGAGAAAGAAGGTGGAGAGAGAGAAAGAAGGTGGAGAGAGAGAAAGAGCTTACGTTAACTTGTCTGGGTGACCGGAAAATTCGGTCATTGATGCATGCGACAGAATCGGAAGCTGAATAGCGTTAGAGATTTCGTTCCATTTTTTCACACCAACCATTACAAAACAAAAAAATAAAATAAAATTATAAGACAACCATCCTCATTTTCATTTACAACTTTACATCCTACTGAAAGAAAACAATGGATTTTAACACAAATCAATTAAATAAACAAATAAAACTTAAATATTTTTAGTTTCATTTTAAAATAAGTTTGATTATTTAGTTTTTAATTTTGTGTGTATATATAATTAAGGATCAAATTTGTGATTTTTTTTCCATTATATACAAATAATTATAAATTAAAGAATTAAAATTGTAGAAAAAAACTATATGCAGCAAAATCAAAACATAAATAAAAAATTCTTGGAATTTGAAATAATATTTCATTCTTATGTATTTATCCAATTACAAATTTAGTTTTTGAGCTTTACAGTATTGAAGTTTGGAATTTACAATTTTGTTTTTCAGATTTTATCTAAAATACTAAACCTAGTATCTAAACCCTGTCAATGTCTAATTGTTTTAGTTTTCATTAAAAAAATACATTTTTTTTATATATATGAAACGTATATGTTATTTTTTGATAAAATATTACTAGGACTTTTTGTCTAAATGTTAATGAGATAAAACTGTTTTTACATGTAAGCAAATTTTGAAAGATATATGGACTGAGATGAATGAGGATAATAATTTCTAGATTTTATGTTTAAGAGCATTGAAAATTTATTTAGTTATTATATATCAACACAACAAATCTGGTTGGATTCCTTTATCAAGAATATTCTATAGAACTTATTAAACAATGTGTGAAACTAAACATCATTGTTTGCATCTCTAGCTTCAGTTTTCATGGTAGTGGCGTTTATACTCACGGGATGCGGTCACTATAGCACGTGCAACACTTCTTACGCGAGTTTGGTTATGTTGTAATGGGAAAAAGGAGATATATTTGGAGATTAGTTTGGTTTGTAATTTATTGTTTAAGTAATTTACGAAAGATACGGAGTTTGCATATTGAACTGAAATACTATAATTTTTAAGTTTAAGAAAGAAATAGTTAAAAAAATAAATTAATATTAGTTTTGGACATTTTATTCAGGAAAACACTTCACTTATTTGTTCAGTTTGCATATTATATTATGTGGATACAGTTCTGTATGGGCCTGATTATTGGATAAGTTATTATTTTTTTAATACTTGTTCATGTTATTATTCCTTTCCAATAAGTGAAATACATCTTTTTTTTTTCAATATTTTCTCTTAATGTATAATTGATGATTTATGTTAGGAAAAATAAGTGTTAGTTAAGTCTCACGTTGAGTAAGAATAAAAAAGTCTTGTTGAATCTTTCGAGGGGGATTCACAAGGGAGAAACACACTGTTGGTGGGAAAAATCGATATGTGGATCGAGAAGCGGATGGAAAGAAATCCAGGATCGTATGTTAGTTGAAAAATGGATAAATCGAAAAGATAGTTGGAAGACATTCGATGACCATGTATTAGTATGAAAACATCGATCGAGAATTAGAATTGAGAATCGAAGAAGAAGATTCGATGACTATTGTTGAAGAAAATCGAGAATTGGAATCGAGAATCAGAAGATAGAGGAAATTCAATGAAAGTAAGAAATCGATAATAAAGGCATTAAGTATGAAGTTAAATGGAAAATCAGAAGCAATTCAAAGTACTTGATATCTGGAATCGAGATCGAGGGGAACAATTATCATGCACATGGAACATGGGAAGCAGATTTCCAAATCGTGACTAAGTTAGAAATCGAGGAACGGTTAAAGTGCACATGGAACGTGGAAGTCGTTTTCTAAACCGTAGGCTAAGGTAAAAAATCGAGGGACGTGCACATGGAACATGGTAGCAGTTTTTTAACTGCTCTTGGGAGATTACATTGAAGGATGCCTATAAATAGAACGAAGCTTGAAGAAGAATGAGAAATTGGCAGAGACGACAGAAACACAAGTGAAAAGTCTACATGAGAACGACGCATCATGAAGTTTCTAATGCTCTGGATTTCCATTTTCATTGATTGCCTTTATCGCTTTCTTTACTTTCCCTGGTAATTTACTTTCATGTAATTTACTTTCATGCAATTTACATTCGTTCAGTCATTTACATTTATGCAAGTTAAGATTTTGCGTTTAAAGTTCCTCGCCATTTACATTTCTACAATTTCGATTTTCTGCTATTTACATTTCTGCAATTTCGATTTCCTGCTATTTGCTTTCCTGCAATTTCAATTTCTTGCCGTTTAAATTTAATGCAATTTGAGGTTTCCGCATCTTACATTTCTCTGCAATTTAATATTATGCACTACTTTTTTATTCGACACTTTATACTGCTTTCTTTACTTCGCTTTCTTAATAAAAAATACCAAAAAAGAATACTTTCGATTTCAGTACGCATGCTTTATTACGCTTCCTGTGTTTCTAATATACATGCATGCTTGTGGTATTTTTTATTCTCATACATGTTTCGATTGAAAACTGTTTGCTAGCCTAAGTAAAAAGAATCTATGTGGTTGAAAGTTGGTTAGAACCTAAGTCTCTTAGAAATCGAAATCGACCAAATTTCCACCAGAAACAAATTGGCGCGCCAGGTAGGGGTCATTGTGTTAAAATTGGCTAGTTCAAAAGTGTATGAGATTAAGGAGTGAACGAATAGTAAGAATGAGTCAAAATCCACCAAATAGTCAGAGTAACAGGGAGATTCCAAATAATCCGAATCCACCAAGCACTGGGGGGCAAGTTCACAATGAAACTACGCTTGTAATATCGACAACTGTGAGTGCGTCGATTCCCGTGAATACTGAACAAAGTCCAGGAACATTAGCAAATACTTAATTAGGGTCTCGGTGTAACATCTCAATTAATGTAAAAGATAAACATTATCTTATCTTAAAAGATAAACATTATCAAAATCATAATTACTACATTTATGATTACATAATTAAATAAATAAAAAGAAAGAAAAAATTTGCTATAAAAAGGGTAGGGGGGAAGGACCCGTAGGGAGAAAGAGAAAGGGAAGAGAGAAAGGAAGAGAGAGAAAGAAGGAGAGAGAGAAAGAGGGAAAGAGAGAAAGAAGAAAAGAGAGAAAGAAGGAGAGAGAGAGGAAGAGAGAGAAAGAAGGAGAGAGAGAAAGAGAAAGAAAGAGTGAGGGAGGAAGAGAAAGAGAAAAAAAAAATTGTCTCTGCAAGAATTTTGGTATCTCATCCGCAACTCTTAAGGTAGGAGAGGAGAATATTATCATTAAATCTATTTTATTTTGCTTATAGTTGTGGAGTGAGGTGTCTCTAACCTCATTCTATTTATTTAGTTATTTGTTTATTTATCTCTAACTACGTAATGGTCCTACCTTATGCTTATTTATTTTATCTCCAGTTATGTACTGGTCCTTTTTGTTTATTTTATTTTATCTCCAGTCTTGCACTGGTCCTATTTTAATTATCTCCAGTTATGTACTTGTCCTTTTTGTTTATTTTATTTTATCTCCAGTCTTGCACTGGTCCTATTTTAATTATCTTCAGTTATGTACTGATCCTTTTTGTTTATTTTATTTTATCTTCAGTCTTGCACTGGTCCTACTTTAATTATCTCCAGTTACGTACTGGTCTTGTTTGTTTACTTTATTTTATCTCTAGTAATGCAACGATCCTATTTATTAATCTATAGTTATATTATTCAATTACAATAATATCTATTTGTGAAGATTTGATGATATTGTAGATGGAGATTGGACCTTGGGGATTTAAATGAGTAAATATCACTGTGAGAGTGATTACAATTGAGTTCATTTATCCCGACTAGTCATTACAAATTTAATTTAAATCTTCATAAAATAGAATGTGTTGAGGAAGTTGAAACATATATATCTATATATTATAAGATTGTATTATTGTAATTGATAAATGTTCTCACTCTCTATTGTGATCTTTTGTGCATGTTTTATTTAAAAATCAACTTAAGTAGATGGAGGCGCCAAGTATTCCAAATCCCTTTTCTGCAAGCATCACTGCCTTCTTTCCAGGAACTACTTGGAACACGAATGTTATAGACAACTCGGTTACTTTTAGAGGGACAGGATTTTCAATAATAACATTTGTATCTGATATGGGAAATCTCATTATGTTAGATGGGCCAGTAGTGGTTACCTTTTTTATGCCTCCTACCTTTTTCCAAAACCCCTTAATCAGTTTGTTTCCACCGGCAATGTAGATACTTGTAAAATTGTAGAAAAATAAATAAATAGAAGGAATCAAAATAAAATTCCTTCTTCTATTGTATATCTTATATATTGATGTAAATTACTTTTACATATATGTAATTATTTGTATATCTTATACAAATAATAATAATAAAAAAAACGTCACATTAAATGGTATCGAAGCAACGTTTCATGTGTGACACTGTACAATGAGTCTATCATGATATCTTATGAATCCTAACTTATATAATTCCAGATGACAAATAATAGAAGGAACAACAAGTTGACAGAAGCGGTACAAGATATCCGAGACATGGCCCCTGCATTATTAAGGAACCAAAGACCTGAAGGAACCAATGAATCACAAGGTTTAGTTGAATTTAGGAGAAACAAGCCTCCGCAATTTTCTGGAGGATATAACCCAGAAAAGGTTGAATTATGGATTAAAGAATTGGAAAAAATATTTCAAGTTATGAATTGTCCTGATGACCAAAAGGTGAATTATGTCGTGTTTATGTTGATAGGAGAGGCTGAATATTGGTGGGATAGTACCAGGAGATTACTAGAAGGAGGAAAAATAATCATTACTTGGGAAGTGTTTAGAACAAAATTTTTAGAAAAATATTTTTCCAATGATGTGAGAAGAACGAAAGAAATAGAGTTTATGCAATTATAAAGCAAGGAAGTATGACAGTAGGAGAATATGCCTCTAAGTTTGAAGAGCTAGGAAAATACTCTGCATTCTTTTATCACCCTGATGAAAGAATGA